CCCAGTCTCTCCCGGAAGGAACCCACGAAAGGTTAACGGGAGAGTAATGGGGAACGGACGGATCAAAATAAACCTCTGCGTCCACCAGTGGAGCAGGTTCATCGCCGAGCTTCTGAGTGACCGCCGAGTAAAGCTGGTCGTAGACAGCAACAACCAAAGATCGCAAGGTGTCACTACGACGTTTGCGCTCGCGCTTGTACACCAGCCACAGTTCGTATACCTCAGCAAGCTGGGCGGGCGTGGCAGCCGGGTTGACGTCAGGATGGAGACCCATTAACACACTCGACTCGACAATCCAATGACGACGCTCATAGAGAGCTACGAAGTAACGAGTCATTTGGCCATCTGTCTGGATGGGCCTCCCCGCCGAGTCCAAGGGACTGTCGCCACGAAGCTTCACCCACATATCTCCAAGAACTTGCATCAAAGTTCGAGGCCGGGTTTGAGAAGCCAAACATCGCCGAGCTTCCTCCAGTATCGACGGAGAAAAGAAGAAAGGAAGCTCAGGGAGCATCCGCCGAAGACGCTGACAAGGATGGCTCGGGTCGAAAACGGCCATGAAAGCTCAAATGCCGTCAATAGAACACGGCGTAGGTGGAACACGACTCTTGCCCCCTACGAGCTCCATCTGCACCCCTCCGCTCAGTGTATCCAATAATGCATTCCAACAACGAGTTGAGCCGAAATGCATGAATGGTACCTCGCGGAGTTGAGCCATGTGAAGAGTCAGGCGACAATCCTTGGACACCGCTTGCGAGGCCCGAGTCCGTAATGTCGCCAGCGGGAGTGTAAGAGCGCTGGGAAGTGCGACCACAGCCGGACGTGAAGCAGTCGAACTCGGCTGAGAGAGAATCGATATAACCGGGAGCCTACTCGGCGAAGGAGCAGCCGGAATGGACTGAGCCGGAGCTGGATCAGGAGTCGACGGAAGCTGCCGATGCTTGTGGTGTCGGTGCTTCTTGTGATGCTTCTTGTGCTTCTTGGATCGCTTCGACCGATGACCGGTAGGACTCGACGAAGCACGACGTTTGCGATGCTGCTGCTTCCCCGAAGCCGGCGCGGAGGCAGAACTCGTCCCGTCACCAGAATCCTTCGATGAAGGCCGCGAGGAGTGGCGATCACTCGGCGGCAAGGACTCATCGTTCATCTCGTCGTCAGAACCGAAGATCGCCGCATGAAGACTTCTCGCTTGGACAGAACGACGAGCATCTGCGGTCGCTGAGTCGGAACCTGAAGGACTGCCAGCCGAGTTCTCTGATAAGAAAATGGGATCCAAGAGCGACCCAGCGGCAGGATTCGTCGAGCCGGTGGACGGTACAGAATCATCACCAGGCCCTAACACCTCGTCGTCAGACGCGTCGAGATCCTCAAGCAGCTGAGCAGTCACAGTGCGGGCGGTCGCAGCAGATCTCCGGATAGGGCGCCCAGATGGGGACGTCAACACGGCCGTGGTCACAGGGAGAGACGGTCTGAGGACACTCACGGCCGGAGTCACTAAGTCAGTCGGCGTGGTGGATACGCTCAGACCCCGAGAGGGCGACTGGGAGCGTCCAACCACCGTTAGCACGACGCTGAGTGGTGCGCTCGACTGGGGCAACCCAGCGGAGATGGGCGAAGTCGAGCCTGGGGCACACACGCTCGTAGCCGGGACAGGCAGTGAAGCCACGACATCGATTGAAGATATCGGCGGTGGGCGAATAGCCGCGACTGACGAAGTCACCGGAGGACCAGAAGACGAAGAACCCGCCGAAGTCGTCGAAGCAACTACAGGAACGGTGTCGGCGGGCGGCTCAGGCAACTCAAACTCAAACTCAGCTTCGCTCGAAGCGTCATCGTCGTCTTCAGAGCGAGCAGAGACAGCGGGCTGAGTAGCAGAACTCAGCTGAAGGTGACGAACCTTCTTCCGCCGAGTCCGACGACGGGACTTTCCAGAGCGAGGCCTTCCTCCATCGGATACAGTAGCTTGAGGTGAACTTGAGTGCAAAAGGGTACTGATAGCCTCGTGTCCATCCTCGCCGGGGAGTGGACAAGCGTACGGTTGAGGCGGATGCGGCGCCGGTGCACGATGACGAGGACCTGCAGCAGTGGGAGACTTGGGGTTGGCATAGCGCCGAAGCCGCTGAGTCGAGGTCAAGTTTGCCAAAGGCGTACGGTGAAGCTGAGCAAGAGTCGGCTCAGCCTGGGTTGCTACCGCCGCTGAGCTGACTGGAGCCGCAGCCGAGTCTGCCAATGAAGTCGCCGAAGACGCTTGACTAGCTGAGGGAACCACACTAGGACCAATAATGGAACTCGCCACTGGAGCATCTCGGCGAGGATGGACAATCAACTCCAACCGCCGAGTTTCACCAGTGGGGATGTTGAGAACCTCAGGAAAGCGAGACTCCAAGACACGACACAGCCGGGCGTTGAGGAGAAGGTCGGACGGATCAAGCCCAGGAACTTGCAAGCCACCGCCAGCAGCAGCAGCCATGTGAGGATCGTGCATCGGAATAATACCATTCCGACGGATGAGCCGCTTCTGTCGCAAGATCACAGCCCGCTGCTCAGCGATCACCGACTGAGCGTGCCGCAAGGGTTGAGTACCGGTGGAACTGTACAACCGCACCGACTCCTGCAGCTGTTCGAAGTGCTTGGAAGCAATGCCCTGAAGAGTGATGAACGCCGCATCCCTCTCAGAAATGGATCGGAGAAGGACGTCGATCTCGGCGTCCCGATCCAAGACTTGCTGATGGTGGAGCTGGGCCTGACCCAACGCAGCGTCAACCTTGCTCTGCTCAGCTGCGATGGCCCGAGCAAGTTTTGCCTCACTCAGAGCTACAGCCTTTCGCAGTGACGCGAGGAGATTAGCCGATTGCGTGGCAGCAGCCTCCAATCGAGACACTTGCTGTTGAGCCGACGAGAGCTGAGTTGACAAGTCGACATTGCTGAGAGCAAGCGAGTCCAGTCGCCGAGTCAGTGCGCGGTTCTCCTCCTGAGCAGCTTGATTGTCAGCTTGGAGATCGCCGATGATCTTTGGATAATCAAGAGCGGCGTAGTTGCCTTTCAAGATATCCAACAGTTCCCCCGCGGAAGCAGCATGCAAAATCGCTCGCCGCTGCACGGGATCGGAGGGCTCCACGGAACGAGTAAATCCGTAAGCCATGAGCCTCGCCAAGAAGGTCAATTCTTCTCGGCGATCATGCCCTTGCTCGTTAATTCTGGCCATAAGGGAGTCAAGACTCACTGGAGCAGCCGAGCTTGGCTGATTGGTGGCGCCCGAAGTGGTGTCGCCCGGCAAGCTCGGTGGACCAGGAAGGCGCACGCGAGAAGACTCTGCCGACTCCGCGTCAGACTCATGGGAAGTTGTCAGGTCAACCAGCCCAGCTTCATGCCGGTCGCTGACCCCACGAGTACCGACGGGTCGAGGAATCGACTCAGCTGGCACGCCTTCACCTCGACGAGGAGTTGGAGAAGAAGGATGGTGCCACGGGTTGTGCTGGAACAACATGCGAAGAGTAAGGAGCTGCCAAGTGAGTGACAGCGGAAGCAACGAACGTACCAAAGAAGGTGGTGGGGAGCCGCGAGACGTCATCAGCCGAGTACGGACCAGCGGTGGCAGAACAAAATGAAGGATTAAGACACTCACCAGCTCGGCTCGTATCATAACCGGGGCAGTTGTGGTGTAGGGATTTCCAGATTCGACCACACGCCGACCTACTTTAGGTCAAGAATCGGCTCGGTCTGATAACCCAGAGCTTAGGAGCCAAGGATCACGGTAAGTACTCGGCGATCTGTCCGGATATGCTATCCGGACAGCCGCTGAGCTCAACGGTCGCCGGAACTCAGCTGAAGGGTCGGTAGAGATCCGAAACGACTACATTTCATTAGATATTTGTATGAGAAGCATAGGATTAAATAGGGGAAGCCGAAAGGGCTCCCAGAAGATAACAGAGCAGAATTTTCCTAGTCCAAGACACGTGTACACTTTTCCGGTAAGTCCCTGCATAGGGCTGGATTATGCCTGCCGTCAATACTCGAGAGGCATAGCTTGTAGGGTATTGACTGGTAGCGCCAAGAGATTAGGTCGGTCCGGGTAGGACAAAGTCTCGCTACGCGCGAAAGAAAGTCCCGCATACTCAGCGGGCCGGTACGTCGGATAGCCCGGGTGCCGTAACACTTCTAGCTGAGCTGCCTCTGCGCTCGGTGACCTGTAAAAGCGCTCGCGCGCCGTCGTCCATCCTTTAATGGAGGGCACAGGGTTGTGAACGAGCTCAGCCGAACCTAACTCGGCGGAGCCTCGGAAGTGATCTGACTTGGTTAGTCGGAACCGGGTGGAAGCGAGCCACTCGTCTGTCCCGGAAGGGCCGGACCGCGAGGGGACCACCCTCTGCGCAGGCCATACAAACCGCCGACCTAGCTCGGCGATTCGTTGTGGTTTGTGTAAGGAATCCACATCTGACGATATTTGTGTGTTCTACTACACCACAGTACCGATAGATACAACTTTCAAATGACAGAGAGAAACGACTCTTTTTCAGTCCTGAGGAGTATCTGATGGCCGACACTTCGTACCCAGCTGACTTCACACACAATACAATTGTACCATCGTACAAAAGAGTAGTCTTGGAAGCGAGAAAGAAGATTTCAACAAGTGCGTTGCTCATGTGCGTGTGGTAAATGAGCATACGATCGGTGTGCTGAAGGGGCGATGGTCTTCACTTAGGGAGCTACGAGTGCAGATACGGCAGAACGAAGATATGAATCGAGTGCTACTGTGGCTTTCTGACTGCGTAGTACTGCACAACATCATGCTGTTGTTTGACGATGACTGGCCTAGTGATGGCGAAAGCTCCGGCAGTGATTCAGATGGTGAGAACTCGGGTAGTGATGATGAAGACCCGTATACGTTTCGGCGGCGAATTAAAGCGAAAGCCATCGCTCGTGGACGTGCACCGGGTGGAATACTGAGAAGAGGCTAGCTGTTTTTCATCAATGCTATGGTAGGAGAGTTGAAGGCACTTAGCTAGTAAAAATTAAAATTAACCGTAAGCAATACTTATGAACGCATGCACCACTAACACTTAAAAAACCTGAAAGCTAACGAGCGTCATAGGCACCTTGCTTTCGAAATGGGTTCGATGGTGGCGGCTACAGTCCAGTTTGATAGAGGTCCATAAGCGTCTTGATTTCATCCGGAGTCTTCTGTGCTGCCACCAGTGACATAAACATATAATGACGACGCGCAGCTCGGCGCTCCTTAGTTCTTGAGTACGAACGTTCCTGCCGGGATTTGTTTGCGTTTCGCTGCTCATTCCACGTTTTTTCGTCCAGCTCCAGCTTTTTCTTCATGTAATTGATTTTTTTCTTCTCCATTTTTTGCATAAGCAAATGATAGTGACGCTCTGCTCTCGTGAGCAGTCATTCGCTTTGGCTTTTCCGTGCCGATAGAGTCCGTTGCCGGAACTTGAACGTTTCTTCTTCTTCTGTGGGTTCGTTTTGTCAGAGTTGGTATCTGGGGCCTGTGGCTTTCTCTTTGATAGCTTCGAGCGCGATCTACCGCGCTGGGAAGAGGGGTGAGTGGTCGAAACCGTCGTGCGTGAGGCTTCCGGAAGCGCAGTTGGCTCCGTGCTGATAGAGGCTACTAGATGTGGACCGCTTTGGCCGATAGCAGGAGGGTCTGTTCGTTGCTGTGGTTGCCGTGGGGAGTGATCCAGCGCGGCGTTGCCAAGTAAAGCTAGCATGGAAGGCACGGATAGTAACTTATCCTCTTCTCCTGTAGTCCATAGAGCACCTTCAGGTGGGGTCTGCTCAAATGAATTGTCTGGTTCAATCGCCCGGGCTTTCGTTCTTGATGCTTCATGTTCGTAATCTGAAGGTTCTTGTTCGTCTGCGTTATCATCATCTTGGAGCATCAGCTACCGCGGCACCAGCGGCGGGTCCTTCGGGATCGTCGTTTTGGTCGTTGGGGTCACTTCCACTTGAGTTGAGGCTGTCATCACCGCTATCAACACTGTTGATCTCTTCAAAATAGTTTTCTTTGTCCTCCTCGCCGTGTTTAGAGCCTGACACATTTCGTCCGGTAGCATGTTGTTAAAGCGAACCAAGTTGTAATGTTGCTGGAGCTCGAGCATTAGCCTTCGTAGCGAACAGTTTTTCCATACGCGCGAAGTGTGGGCACAACTTGTCCAGCTTGCCTTGGATTGAAAAGCCGTGCCTCATCTCCTTCTTGGGCATCCCCAGGCCCGTCTCCGTGCGGCTCTTTTTTAGTGTTGGCTGGAGCTTCTTCGTCTTGTATGTTCGCCAGCGCTGCTGCACGTTTGCTCCCGTAAGCGTAGGAAGATTAGATGTCTTCTTGTGTGTGTTTAAATACACCGCCAGCTCATTGAAAGCCTGCGTCTTTGTCTTCTGGGGCCCTCTCGAGACAGTGGTCTTATTGCTGGTGCCATGAGCTGCAGCAAAGTTCTCAGGTATCTCCATCCAGGTAACGAGCAGGCCGTAGTCCTCTCTAGAAAGATGCACCTTTGCGGACGGGCCGTTCTCGTTGTTAAGCGTCATTCTTATAAAAAAACGGATTAGTTAGACTTCCACGTGAAGGAAGGACACACGGCTTACGTACTGTAAGTAGTGTGCTGAGAACGACGTGGAGTGTGACTGGGGAGCACTTGTGATGACGGCTCCCGCCAGTGCAAACTGCTCCTGAGCTCTGTTAGGTACAAGAGCAGATTGAAGACTGACGGCAACATTGCCTTTTCGGATCACTTTTTTGTTATTGGAAATGCCATGTGATCGCTGGGATCGCCCTGCTCCTGAGGTAGGTGATTTTTGAGATGACAGGTCATGGCGCCAAAATATCACAGAAATCGTGCCAAAATATGACATGGGTACACGCCAAAATATGACAGGCAAAAACGCAAAGTTTGACTCCCTCTATTTAAAAAAAATAAGCGTAGTAATAGGATTCTATTTGATACAAATCCGTTGCAGTTAGCGATAGAGCTTCTATTAAGACATGTACACAAGTATCTCTAAATTTTGGAGATCTCTCGGTGTGAGCTGTAAGTTACAGCTCGGTTATTGCGTTCTGGTGCGCTTATCACAGGCTGTGATTCACAGCGTGATTGAGGCTGTATTACGGTACACGTACTTGGTCATCATCGCCTGACTCGCGCTGGGCGCGGTGCCCGAATGCTGGGCAAAGTCTCCGCATAGCCTCGCTAATGAGCCCCGTGGTGCGATCAACGTCCTTCATTCGCGCGCGACCTTCGACGTCGGCATCCTTTGATGATTGATTGGGCGATACACGGCGTGATAAGGCGGACACATGAGCTTCGCACCTGTCTCCACGCTGAAACTAGGAACCTAACCATAAAATTCCGGAGTTGCACACCTACTGCAACGGCGGACATCCAGGCATTGGCGGTGGGTCGAGTGGCGAATTTGCACATCGTCATGATGACTATTATTGAGTCTTGCAGGCGAAAAGAGCAGGTCGAGCCGGAGCCTGCGCTGGGCTCAGTACACGAGATTGGCGAACGGCTTCTTTTTCCTTGATTGGCTGCTTTCTTAAAAGTCAAGAGATCAGAGTCCTTTTGAATTAATTTCTCTTCCAGTACCGATCGGTCAAAGCAATAGAGATCATTCTGCTTTCTTCCTCGGACTGCTCACCCACCGCCAAATTTCCAAGTCCATTTGTTTTATAAAGTGTGGCTACGATGGCCCCGACCCCCACTGGCCAGAATGTGCACGACTTGCAGCGCCTTTCAGTCATAAGCATCACTAAGGAGAGTGTTACTAAGGATTCCACTACAAGCTACGCTGGTATCAAAACACCCCATGACGCCCCAGAATTGCTTGAGGATGGTGCTCTTCGTCCGGGTGGTATGCCCAACCTGTTGAGTCGGGACCACATCGGTCTGATCTTCCAGTACGCAGCTGTCGGTGTCGTTTACGGTATGCTTCCAGAAACGATATACCCGTTCATGCAACAGTACCTCAACTGTAGTGGTGCTCAGGTCGCTGCCGCCAAGGAGCTTGTCATCCTACCGTGGAGCTTCAAGGTGTTCTACGGTATCATATCAGACTGCTTCCCCGTTTTCGGTTACCGTCGTCGTCCGTACATGGTGATCGGCTGGACCGTTTGCATTGGAATGCTGTTGCTCATGGCTATCATGCCCATTGGCCAGCCGTACTACACTGTCGCATCTGACCGCAAAGTCAACGTGGCTGACTACACTCCCGAGATCGAGGCCCGTCTCAACCATAGTGCACCTGGTGAAGGCGCCAAGTACGTCGTCATCATGTTCTTTGCTGCGTTCGGCTATGTGCTGTCCGACGTGTGCTCCGATAGTATCGTGTGCGAGCTCGCCCAACAGGAGCCGATGGCTAAGCGTGGAAAGACGCAGTCGGCTATCTACACGGTGCGTACGACTCTGGTGATTTTCGGTGAGCTACTCGTCGGCTTCTGCTTTAACGGTGAGGACTACGGTGGCGACTTCGACTTCTCGCTGAGCTTCCCGCAGCTTATGATCATTATGGTGGCGCTCACGGCTCCTGCGATCCCTCTTACCTGGTACTTTATCAAGGAAGAGAAGGCCGAGCGTCTGGACTTTCGCAAGTACATTAAGGAATTCTGGGACTTGCTCTGCAAGCGTGTGGTGTACCAGGTCATCGCCCACCACTTCTTCGCCGGTATCTTTTCCGGTATTTCGTACACGGCCAGTTCTCCAGTGCAGTCGTACATGGTAGGTGTTACCCCTATCAACAACATGTTGAACGACGTCCTCGGTCACTTGTGCTTCATGATCGGTATCATTGTCACATCCAAGTACGGTCTCCACTGGGACTGGCGATACATGATCGTTGCGACGGGTATTGTCGTGATTATTGTTGACTGCTCGGTTGCTCTCATCACGGTGTGGGATATCTTCCGCAATCAGTGGTTCTGGCTTGGCCCTCCTATTGCTGTGCAGATTCCCAGCGGTGTTGCTTGGATCATTGCACTATTTGTGACGGTCGAGATCGCCGGTGTTGGTAACGAAGGTGCTGTATACGGTCTCATGACGACGGTCGGTAACCTCGCCACGCCGTTCGCTACGACGCTGACTCTTCTTATTAACGGCCCATTCGACATCACGAACGCCCGAGTGCAGACTGACGACCACTCGGTTCGCGTGGATATCACGTACACGGTCATCATCTCATACGTCATGAAGGTTTTGTCGTGGGCGTTCCTGGTTCTGCTTCCGCGTCAGAAGAAGGAGACCCAGGAGCTGGCTCTTAACGGTGGCTCCAACAAACTCCTCGGTGGCCTTACTGTGGCCTACCTGTCGTTCGCGTTAGTGTGGTCTTTGATGGCCAACACCTTGGCCATCTTCGATAGCACTTCGTGTTTACTGATTGCCGGTGGCAAGGGCTGCTAAGTACTTGCGGGTTTAGGAATATTTTTCTCTGTAGCGTGATGAACGAAAGGACCTTTACAAGAGAAGCTTCGGACGATTCAATAAAAACACACATAAGTTTTATAGATTAGACGTTGAATTCGTTGCATGCATACTTCGGTGCACCATGTCCTCTTCAAAGATAAGAAAATTTCGGCTCAAAAACGATTTTCAGTCTCGAAAGAACAGCGAAGTAGAGCCACGACGATGTTATTTAACATGACATGGCATTCGAAGCACGTTGTGCTTCGAATGTGCCAAGTAGCCTGGTGGCAAAGAGACGTACTGCACAATGATGAATGGAATATTGAGCGTAAAGAGTGCTGAAACCTGCTTCTTACGTCGTTGACAAGATGCTAAGCTCAAGAGGAGTCGATGCCTTCTCACAATGCTGTTTAATACTCCCCGGGGAGGTCTACGAGGCGTCGCTATTCAGGAGAATTGCCAAGAGAGTGCCAGGCTGAGGTTTATTAACCGTTATTATCGCCTATAAGAGCGATATTCGCCCTAGTTTATTCATCTTAGGTACATGTATGTGCCAGTTTCGTGCCAGTAATTTTAGACAATTAGATATTACTTCCTCTGTCGGAAATGATCACGCGAAGTAAGTATGATAGGTCAATAGTGCTGTTACCCGCTAAGAACTTATTTTACGATTTATATAAAGTTATAGATCACATTAACTGTCATTTATAGATCACATTAGCTGTCATTTATGATGATGTTAAATTGAATAGCAGTGCACTGCCACGGTTTGAAGACTTAAGTAACGCGACAGCAGACTCATACAGCTCTTTGCTACATGACAAACTAACAGGAAGTTGTTTCGCCCTCCAGAGCTTGGCTTTCCCCAAGTGCGGTAGTTTGTACAGGTTGCCTCCTCCTTCTCGTAAAAGCTCCAGCATACATGCCTGTAAGGTCAAAAAAATATCATCTACCGTGTCAGTCTCCAGCTGCCGAAACGCGTCCACCACCGACGCTATGAGAGCGTTGATACCCTTTCTTGGTATTCGATACTGAATACTTTGCATGGAGGCGAACAGACCCAGGTCTAAACAGTTGAGGTCAGGCGAGTTGGGGGGCTGACATAGTAGCTTGATGTTCCATCCTCCTTCAGTTCCGGCCTTCATTACATCCGGGTCTGCTGGCGCTACGTGCGGCTTTGCATTGTCTTGTTGTACGAATATGATTTCATTCCGATCCTTCCTTGGCCAATTTGCTTTGATCGCTGGAAATACTTTTGTCAGAAGATAATCCTTGTACACTTCCCGACAGACCGTATCGATATTACGAGTGCAAATAGTTCCTTTGTCTCTATTTTTGCTTCGCCGTTTCGCCTCGTACTGTTCCGTAAAAGACCATATACCAACTTTGCCATCCCAACGCTGCTTTCGGTGAGGATCGTACCTAAAATTATAAATAAAATGTCAGAGGTTTTTATATTTCAAAAATATAATATTATAGAGAATTACCTTGGCCGTGCGAGGGCAGCTAAAAACATCGTCTTGGGAACGAATCGTTTACTCTTCCAGGCGCGTGCAGGTAGTTCTTCGCCGTCGAAAACGAGGTATGATCGTCTGTTGCGGTCTGCATAAAACCACTTCTCGTCTACATGGACTAGATTGTGCATTGGCTTAAACTGCAGAGTAGATTCGTCGATAAACGACAACGCGTGCTCTACCCGCCGTATCTTGTTTTCATTCGTTAGCGACGGCTTGATAAACGTATTTCGTCACGTTACTATTCTTTCATTTACTGCCTGTCTTACCAGATGCCTGGAGAGACCAGAGACCGCCGCCACACGTCTTTCAACCACTCTATCCTCGATAGGAACACTCTTCAGTTTGTCTTGTACTTCGTCTCGATTCTTTCGCTTTCTGCCGCTGTTCTTCTTAATCCGGCTACGCCAATCACCCCCCACGACACCAGCCGTCACTGCAGAGCTGTACCGCTTCCAAATTAACCTCACGGTGTCCGGATGTCGGCCCATAAGAACACCAACCTTAGCAAACGCTCCACGGGGTAATTCTCCGTTGTTGCTGATTTTTAGAAGCTCGTCAATGACGGGATTGCGCTCATTATTGGTAAGGTTGGGCTTCGGCATATTTGTAGAGGAAGAAACAGCGTAGTGCAGGCGTGGCGGGTCGCACTCCAGGCGAGGCTTGAGACCTTGAGAGCGAAAAGTGAGATTGCGGAGGCTACAGAAGTTCGTTCGGCGCAAAACTGGTGGCTGTAGGAAGAGGAGATGCAGGGCTTTCGTTTAGTCTAATCAGACGCTGAATTGGGTAAATAGAACTAACGCAATTGGTCAAATTGTCGACTTCGCGTGATCATTTCCGACCAGAGGAAGTACAACTCGTTTTTTTCTTATTTTCTATTAGCTACAGTAAACATTTTCTGTCGAAGCGATTCGATCTGGGGGTAAGGCTCAATTGATTTGCACTCTTACAAACTTCTAAGCGAAAAGCGGCAGCAAACCGGCAACCCGCTAAAATGAGGACATTTCTCAAAGCAGAGTCATTTGTGACCTAAAGGAGGCAGCATACTTGTATTACAGCTCTCTGATTAAATTGCCCGAAAAGAGCGCATTTTATGTGTGTCTTTATCGACGAAATAGGACATCTCGATGAAAAGTTAACTTGTCAAATTTACAGTACTTACTGGGAATACCGAAGAATGAATAACATCTTTTACTACTTATTACTTCGCTTCTGGATTGAATAAGACCACCCATGTTTCCGATTCGCTGAAATCTCTAAGACCGTCGTATGGTTGTGGGCCAGATGGTCCGACGTGACGTATTTTGCATACATCTCACATGGCAAGCATGGTGGTCTCCTCCGACGAGACGTCCCCACTAATTCCTCTGTCTCCGCAGCCCCTTTCATCCATTCAAAGGCATCGCCATCGTCGTGAATCTTTCGAGACGGGGTTTCCACTTGTTGTCGCTACAGAAATTGATGTCCAGTCGACTGTACAAGAGTCGGAGGCTGACTCACCACGAGCTTCGGTCTCCGTATCGCCGTGCCAATGGTTGGGACACAATTGCGCCGTGCCGTTCACGCTACTAATGTCGGCAATTGGTGCCGGCACATTGGCCGTGCCGTATACTTTCGTGCTATTGTCTCCTGTCCAGGCGGTTTTGTTGCTTTGTTGCGTGGGGTTGGCAATGGCTTTCACGGCTGATACACTCGTGGGCGTTCATGTGGCGGTGGTAACGCAAAGTGTTGATGAACTGCAGGAGAGTCGCGAGACGTATCAACATCTGGCGTGGAGAGCTGGCGGTAAGCCATTGGCTCGACTGACGGGAGCTTTGACGGCGCTCGCAGTTTTTGGAGCGTGTGTGGGCTGCGTGCGTGTGGTGAAGGACATGGCGCCGGTGATGCTATCAACAGTCATTAACGGTTTTGAGCAATGGAGTCAGACAGAACAGCAACATGCAGTGGCGACTACTGTTTGGGTTATCGTACTGGTGGTTGTCCTGCCACTGGGATGTTTGACGAAAATTTCTGCATTGCGCTTTTCGTCGTACTTTGGAGTGGCATTTTCGGTGTATCTGGTGGGAGCTGTGGCATACCGTGCAGCGGTTGGAGGCGTCGAAGCGGGAGATCTTGATATTGATGTGGTGCCGGTGTCAGAGATGGAGTATGAAGCATCATTGTTCTGGCGCGTATCCGAGGCTGTAGGTATCTACAACTTCACCTTCATGTTGCACTTAAACGTAATCCCTTTACTCGCTCAACTTGTGGCAGCGGATAGAGACGCAAGACGGAAGTTACATGACAAGGATATTGAGAATGTTGGTGGTACTGAAGCTCCTGTGGCTGTGGACTTGCTTCAAACTGCTGCACGAACGATGCGACGTCACTTGGCTCTGGCTGTCGGAGTGTGTATTCTGCTCTATGCGACGTTCGGTATTTGTGCTGCGCACATATACGGGAGTAAAACACAAGGCAACATACTGCTGAATCTCTCGAACGATCGAATCATGGCGGTGCCTCGCGTGGCGATTCTTTTGACGATTCTCCTCTCATTCCCGCTACTGTTCCACCCGCTTCGCTCGCTGGTGCTAGAGATGTACATGGCCTGCACATCTCGCAATACCCCGGAAGAGGAAAACGGCTCAGCCCCGTCACAATTCGTACAAGCTGTTGGGACTGTGTCACTCCTAGTCGCTCAGATTATCTGTGCCTTACGTGTGCCTGGACTACAGGTAGTGTTTTCGTTCGTCGGTGCGAGTATCTTGCTGATGCTTTGCTACTTGTTTCCATTGATTTTCTACGTGCGACTTACGTCATGGCGCTCAAGTCGCAAGGAGATAGCACGACTGGCTATACTGTCAAGTGTGGGCTTGGTCGCGACAGTGTTTTGCGTCGCAGCTACCCTACAGCTTGTGTTTCCAGCATGAGAAAAACCTCATCTTATAAATAAAGAAATCGAGAGCAACCCACTTGAATAGTGTTCCTACACGTTGGCGAAATATGCTAATTTGGCAAGGATAATTTTTGCTTTCATTTTATTTACTGAAGAATTGTACAGTACTACAGAGTTTTTACTCTTAATATCAAACTGTAGTACTTCATTTTAATACATGTTGTATTATGATAGTAAATTGCCATTAAAAATCCCTTAGCTTACTATATTTATCAAGAAGGCAGACGATCATCCGAGCGTATCGAGTACTGATTGTGAGCGACGGTTAAAGTCGACGTCGTAGTCGATAAGCAGCGGTCGAAGCAGGTTCGCTGCCTCCACAGCCGTCAATCGTTCGGTCGGACGGTCCGCGAGCAGCAAACCACGAAAGATTTCGAAAATTACGTCGGGGAACTCGATGCGACGGAAGCAAATGAGGCAGCCATCCTGTCCTAGACATTGGTCGTAGCCTGGTTGATTCGCATGTGCAAGTAGATTCGTCGCCCAATTCGTATCACAAACAAGAGCCAAGTGGCCCTTAGGGTATCCAAAACACAGCAACTGGTACAACTAAGCGATAAAAAGACACACAACGTCAGCAAATAGTTCTAAAGTTGACAATGCAGCATCCCATAGTTTTCGTACCAACACTCCAGTAGACCACATATCGGCGGGGGCTCCCAAGAAGCCCGGGCGTGGTGAAGGGCGTTGATTATGCGCCCTCACTTCTTCTGCAACATAGAGCGGCTTAAACTTGATCAAGCGGTCGTCGGCTCCTGCCCGTCCATTGTTTGTCATGATCTCGGAGCTGCCAAAGTCGATAACCCTTGGATTATAATCGGCATCTATCACCACATTGCACGGGTCAACATCTAAGTGACACACATTCTGCGCATGCATGTAGGCAAGGCCTTTGAGGACTCCTTCGAAAATATACAGCGCCTCGAGCATCCACGCTCTGGACACGAAGGTATTGACGGCGTGTTCCAGCTCCGGTAGTGACGTCATTCGATTCACCAGTCGCTCCACGGCGAAGCGCTTGTAGTCTGTAAGCCGTCGCTTGGCGTACATGATGAGACTGCCATTAGCTGCCCAGTCCATAGCAATGTATTCGTTGTGCTCGTCGGCTAGACATTCCCACTGCGACAGGTGAGGCGAGTGGTATACACCTGAGAAGCCCGGTGGCTGTAGCTGTGCCATGACGCGCACCTCGTTAAGCACGTCGTCGTGCTGCAGCTTGAGTTGCGTCTTGTCCATAATTTTAAGCGCCACGTCGTACGTGGGGGCAGATCCCAAGCAGCCACGTTGGAAATACTTAGCAAAGCGCACGACGCCGCAGCGACATACGCCCAGTAGCGCCATCTCGTCCTGATTGGATGCGTCCGACGCCAGTGGAGCCTGGTGCAGCGGATGTGCAAAGCACATGACGCCACCACGCTCGTCGTCCCAAGGCAGCAGCAGAACCGGCAGCAGCAGATCGAACGCAGGATATCGAGGCGGTACACCGCGGTGTCGGAACGGGATGTAGCGCGGCTCTCCGCGCTGCCGGTTGTAGGCAAACTCGACGAGCTGCAGCGCCTCAAGCTCCATCTGGTGGCAATTAGCAAAATGACAAACTTTGTGAGGGGGCTGATAGAGCAAAATGGTACATTGTACCAAATTACTTGAGGGAATGAATGTGCAACTTGCTGCTTGGGTTCAAGTGAGCCTTTAATTGGAATGGATACATGTACGAGTAATGTGACGTGGCAGCGTGCTCTTCACCTTGCGAGAGCTGATGAGCAAGAGCCACGGAAGGAATGACTTCAGTTCTCGAATACCCTGTGGTGTTGCCACTCAACAACGACTTTCTTTCGTCGTTTTCGGATGAAACGAACAAGTACGTAAATTTATTCTTCTTTGTCCTGCTAACTTAAACGCTTTGCACGAAGCTCTAGAATTTATATTCTAGAGTAAGGCGACCACTTGCTCAAGCAGCTATCATAATATGCTAGCTAAATTGCCTTAAAGTGGTTTATAAAATAAAGCCACTTCAAAACAATAAAAGTTTCTGCCGGGATTGGTCTCGCCATTTGGTTGTGGTGGTGGTGGTGGTAGGTGGGGGTGGGGTGGGTAGGTGGGGGTTAAAACGCTGTTTTGTCAGAACTCTGCTAGGAAAAGTAAAGTAATTATCCTGGTACAGTACTGCACTCCGTTTTCGCGGGGTTAATAATATAGGATTTGTTAGTAAATTAGAGTTTAGCTTACAAACTATCGTTCTTTTGGAATTTGGCATATCACATCTGGCGGTTTATCAAAGGTCCAAGGACGCAAAAACGGGGTGCAGTACTGTAGTGCTACGTGACTATTACAAAATTCAAGGATGAAATATGTGGTCCACAGAAAACGTAGGTAACTGCAAGAGCGAATTTAATATCAATTCTCTCATAGATGCAACAGGTTTTTTTTTTTTGCTACAGGTTTTTACGGCCCTGCTCCGCAAATTATAATATTAAACAGGTAAAATACAGTAGAAAATGATACGTTCTCTTTAACAGCTTAGAAAGGTATATGGTGCAAATACATGCTGTTTTTTAGTAAAAGGGACGAAGGTCTGCAGGTTTCGCTCCGTAAAAAAAACGGAGCAGGTGATAAATAGAAGTGAACGTTTTTTCTGCTCGTGCATCGCCCACAGCCACACAGACACAATAATTAAGAGGAAAACAAACAAACAGAGCACAATTTCTCAAGCAGGCCGCTCACGTTCCACCAGGTCCACGTTTGAAGCCATTAAGGTGGTGTCACCAGCAGTGTCAGCTTTCAAAGAGCTTCGCCGTTTTGTAATCATGCTTCCAGCGGTTGAAAAGCGTGCTCAGACGACACCGAAGTGGCAATGACGCTGAGCCACGTACGGGCTAGTTCGGCAACTGTCGATAATGAGGAATTGTTTTTTTTCTCCACCATTCCAAAGACGACGGTGGCTTCTGCTGGCTCTTGCTAGCCTTCGCTTTTCCGGTACTCCTTAAGTCGGATCGTACCCTTCGGCGAGCGATGAATGTACTCTACCAGCTATCGAAACTAACAGACGGATCGGCGCACTGACTTCATCTCGACAGATTGGACGTTACTTGAAGCCGCCGATATAGCGGGATTAACAAAACTTGCCTCTTCTTCACACAATGCATCAATTTCAGCGTTGTCACAAATTCTGCAGTCTTCATCGTTACTGTCATCATTATGATCTCCCTCGTCATTGACTTAGACGGCAATCCACGAATCCTCAGCTGTTTTATCAGCAAGCGAGATGTTATCGGAAACACTCCCCACTAGGTCGACACCGACATCAGCACTGCTTTCGTCACCATCATTGACAGAAGTACCACCACGATCAAGACTGTTCTCATCAGCATTATTGAAAGCGGTGGCACCGACAGGCACATGCTCTTTAGGTGTGTCCTCCGACTTCTTTGCAAGCGCAGCAGCAACAACCAAATGGAGCGCACGGGCTGCACAGAACATGTCAGGCAACTTGAGCATCTTGCACGCTTTCTTCATGTCTGAAGACGGTTCATAACAGCCTCTACTTGCTACCGGCGCAGCTCAATAGTGAGGGAAAGGGGAGAAGGGTAAGCGTGGCCTTGGCCTTAAACTTAATTGGGTTTTTCCACCCTGGTTATAATCGCACTCCAAAAAAAAGCTGATAAATACTACGTAGGCATAAAGGCGCTGAAATTGAGTGGAGCAGCGCGTCGAACAATTCACGTCTAAAAGCAATATGATAGCTTATTACTGTGTATGATACTTATGGTGGGTCCCCTGGTACCCAGCAGGACCCCGGTTCTCCCATTACAAACCGGTTCAGAGATACACAAAATATTTACTTGTTATGGATCACTTTAAATTCGGAGGTGGGCTAAAGAGCTGAAGAATCGAGGACTGGTGGCTAGAAACCTGACCCACTTTTCGTGGACGGCCTGGTCCTGCTCTGCGTGTTTCTTTGTTTGTTTTACCTTTTGCTCCTCCTTGATCGTCAGAACCTCTACTTTTAGGGGTAGCTGGAGCGTTTATGATTGCATCGGGTACGTCTGGATAAAACCCCAGGTGCTGTGGAGAAATCGAGAAGTATTTTGCTGCTTCTTCGGAGATTTCTGCTTTTTCGCCGAGAGCTGTTTGACTGGGTGACGTGGTAGTTGCACAGAACCGTTTGACGCCTCATCGATGCTTGATATATGGGATCCAAAGAGCTTGGATAGTATCGATTTTCGGATGACATCTACCCCTGCGGTAGTAACCATTGAAAACGATATCGCATCGGCATCAGAAGTCCCAATATGTTTTACGGTGCAAATACCACAGTCAATCTCGAACAGGTATTTTGAAGTATAACCTGGAGGTGGTGGTAAGATTTGTTTTTAGCAACGCCTCCCACTCCACGAAAAATGGTCGTTTGGGCTCTTTGTGGTCAATAGCCAAGCGTTTCACGCCTTTGATCTTATTCATCTCCTTGGCCACATCTATTGGAGCATACAGCTTCAGACCTCACGTCACTCTACGCGATCACTCGGTCAGCAATATTGTGTGAATGTCCTGTTAGTAGGAAGCATAGCACAACGTTTTTGTACGAAAATACCACCGAGAGAAAAGTGAAAAACATGAGTACAGCCTTGGACTTGTTTTGACCAATATAAATATCCACCAAGCCGAAGCTGATCTCTGCGGGCGGATAGCTGCTGTCGGTATCGTTTATCAACATACCAAGGTGATAATTCAGTCGAAGATGACAGAGGGCATCTGCATTATTCCCTCGCGCTCTTTAATCATACAAATACACGTGGCTGATGCTGTTGTTTATGCCTGCTACCACATAGTTCTGGACAATGAGATTGCTGCTAAAGTAACAGAAGGTCGGATGTGCCCATCGTGAATCGTTGCTATCCCTTCACCGTAATCTTCAGCCTACATAATACTATGCAGGTAGGACGAGCCCTACCTTAAGCACCAGTAACCTCCACGACAATACCTCCATCCTCCATGTTATCAACTTGGCCCCCATTCACTTCGAATGAGCCATTGTCACTTTTGTCAACGGTGTCTCGTATAATAGAGTGAGATAAAATATGTTCTGGGGGGCATGAAACGCTGAATAATTCTTAACGAAAGCAGAAAATAATCTTATCTGTGTAATTGCTTCGACGAGACTAGCCGAGAGCAACCGCTACGCGGCGGTAGTTTCGATTACATCCTCCATGGTAAGGCCTTTTTCATCCCCCGCTTCGCTTCGACGGGACTATTTTACCGGTACATGTATTAATAAATAAGCCTAAACGGATTCTTCATTTTCATTACATGTACCGGTAATCGGATCCCAATTTGGACTACCAAGCAACCGTATCTACAAAGTCAGAGAATGTCGCTAGTCAGAAGTAATTAACAGCCGTGTCGAAAAAAACGTATTTGTTAAATACCGAGCTCCAAGTAATTTGCGCAGTATGTCTACAAAAGACTGAGCCTCCACCATGTTGTTTGCAACATTACTTCGAAACATTGTTTTATTCTAGTCAAATGTGATGATAAGCAGCTACAAAATAATATAGTATTTTTTTTAATTCTAAACGTATTCTGTTATTACTACATAGAATCAAATTTTACGTAAGATACTGTTCACAAGTGTTGTTGCTGTTGTTGTTTTGTTGCTGTTGAATTAGAACTCTAAACCGTACTACGATCTTGTCGGCAACCCGTCCGCCCATAAATAGTATCGTTCTTCCGAGCATACCGGTAAAATGAGACGACACACATTAATGTACTACGCAGCACAACTTTTTTACAAAATATTTTTCAATAAGAAAGTACTTCGAAGTAAGACAATGCTTATTAATATATATATAAGTAACAAAAGCGACAATATAAAAAGAAGCATTTTTTTGCCAATATAACAAAATAGAGTGTCATGAGTAAAAATATTTTGAGTCAATGGAAATACTTTATATTGTACCCATTTAGATGTCTAGCTCCACCTTCTTCGAGCGACGACGTCGCTGCATGCGGTAGCGGCAGCAGCGGTGACGCTCGTGCCCTGTACAGGGTCGTCGTGGCGACGGAGGCGGTGGAGGCGGCGTGCCCATAGCAACGGCCAGAGCGATCATCCGCTGCCCACGCTGGCTTCGGTGGTGCGGGGGCTGCATCGAAGCGGTGCCAATAAGCCCGTGCGTTGGGCCCATTGGCACACGCAATGCAGCGACGGCCCCCAGCTCTCGCGGAGCCAGCTGCAAAAGCATCCCACGACAGGAGCGTTTTGCAGCAGGCACACTGCCGGAGCGCCAGCCCAAGACCGTCAAGGTCAATGGGCGGCGGCACCACGCGGGCCTCACAGGTCCGGCAGTCAAGCGGCTCCATTTTGTCAAATGTTAGAAGAAGGTTTCACAAAAACATTTTGACCAATAAAATTATTTTTTTTTACCCAATTACAGCCAATACCTCTCAGCCACTCATTAAGGTCACATTTCAACCAATCGGAGCCGCCTTCGCTTGGCTCGACAGCCAATGATAAAGCATTAAAAATTGAGCGTTTCGTGTGACGGGTGGACAGACACCATGCTAGCCTTGATAGCTTAGGACTAGCCGAGCGTTTCCGCTTTGCGGCGGTGGGTCAGTATTGGGTCTCAGCTGTGTAGGCCGCCCACCTCCGCTTCGCTCCGGCGGGCTGATGTTTGTGTTTTATACATCATGAAAGTTTTAAAGGGAGACATGTAGCTGTAAAAACGTTTTGTATTTAGAGTGAGACCACATTCTCACCCATGCAGGCCGCTGGCCTCTGCTTTGCTCAGGCGGGCCGACGTTTTGTTTCGTTTGTTAGCGAAACAACGTGTAAAACGAATAAGCAATTATTCTTACCTACGCTCAAAGATCTGTCTATACACTAAGGTTTTAGGGTCAACTCCGTTCTCCTCCTCAGCTTCGAAGTATTCGATCAGCACCTCACCGCCGCTTTGCGGCGGAGGCTGCATAATTTGCTAGATGTGAGGTGTCCGGAATTTTAAATACTTGGTGGTGCAGCGTGACTTCACTTAGGATCTTGTACCTTAAGGCTTCAGCCACCTCAATAGGACGTAGTTTCGTGACATAAAGCCCCTACCATTCCGTAGTCCCATATGGCGGTGTAAGATACCGTGGGTTTGTAGGCTACCGATGCTTCCTACTATAGATTGGATGTCGTGTTCTTTCGTGGCCCGTGCTCTTCCGCTTCCTTCCTGGCCTGGTGGTTTTAAGCTCACCCGTAGCTCAATCGCTTAGTGACTATGCGTTATCCCATTGATTTCATGCTCTCTCGTACCCCCCCCCCCCCACCTCTTTCGTAACTGTTAGCTATTTCGTGTTCCCAAGGGTTTGCGTGAGCTCCACAGTTTTGTGGTTAATAATAATTCATGATCCATGGGGCAATCGCGGTGTTGTTCTGCTAACCATGCTATCGCGAGCTCATAGTGTAAATCTGTCGACCACCGTATCAGGTCATGCAATCGTGCTCCGCGATGTAGCCTCGTGCTCTCTTGAAGCGTTCCCCCGTGGGTCCGCCGTCCGTGCTATCATATGCTACTGTAATATCGTCCTCCGTGGCTCGGTGAGCTCAGTTCTTCACTGGTATCGTGCTCCGTGGCTGAGTGATTTCCCGTCTATAGCTCCCATGGCTGATTGATTTCCCGTCTATAGCCCCCGTGGCTGCGCATTCTCTCATGGGTTAATAGTTGGGTCACCGTCCATACTATCGTGTTATCTTGTGGTGTCGAGGTTGATCTGTCGTCCGTTCCATCGTGAGCTACAGTAGTATCACTCTTCGTTGCTCAGTGAGCTCTGGTTCTACCCTCGTACCGTATTTCAATGCTTGGTAATCTCCTGTTTATGGTCTTCTGCGGCTTCATGTTTGGTCCGTCGACCGTGCTCCGTACTCCACCGTGGTGTAACAAAATAATCATTTTTCCGTGCGTTGTCACAGCTACGTGCTCTACTGTGAGGTGCAATATTTCAGCTCTCTTTCGTGGTCAGTACGCGCCCGTCATACTCTTTTCCTCCCCATTTTTTAGAGTAGCGCGCTCTTCCATGGCTCGTGCTTTTCAGAATCATTAGGTGCCTTCATTGATTTAGTCCTCGTTCATTGTCCGTGGCCTTTCGTGCTTCGTGCTGTTTCTTGTAGCCCATCAAGAACATGGTGTTCCTCCGCGTTTCGTGTTATTGCTTAATCACGTGCCTCCGCGCTAACTTAAACACTGCTTCCAGTGCCTTGTAGGTACGCTACGTATCGTGTTGAAAAAAGGCACATTTTATAAAGGTCGCACACTACGCGCGCAAATACATAGGAAGACGATTTTTTTCCGCGGCGGTGGAGTGGGGGTGTAAGATGGGAGGCCACTATACACTTTAAAGGTTTTACTTTGAGTTGTTTGTGCCAATGCGAGTAGGTGATAAAAAAATTGCACATAAACGAAAAGACCGACCGTTTCGGGCCCATCTGCAACCCGAAGTCACCGCTACAGCCCCCTTCCTAACGCTTCTGCATTCATTCACCCATAGTGATCAAAGGGTGATGGCATTCTATCGCCAGCAAAAGCTGCCTGCAATTAAAGAGATTCGGCCACTGAAGGGGCTCGCATTTGGCTACACAACGCATCACAGATAAAGTGCTCAGCTGTCAGCATGCTACAGCCACATACTGCACGTGAAGGACTCATTTAAATACTTGTTCTGCAGCTCGATTAGTGGTAAATGCATATGACATTAACCACAGCTCCGTATCAAATGGCATAGACGAGAGCTATTTAAAATTAATGCTCGTTCCTTACTATACCGATGCATCAATACATGCTAGCAGCCGCTGCTGTTTTCTGCAGCGCGTGGCTTCCTAAGCGTGCGTAGAAGACCCTCTTCTTCTGCGGATACCTGCTGCCGCTGGCGGTATCCGCAGATGAATTCTCACTGTGATGTCCCTAGGCCACTGCAATGGATTCCGCCGCCTCCTCCTTTCGGTGCTGATGTAAGGTGACTGATGCCCCCCCCTTGACTCATCGACGCTCTTCTAGCGTCGGTGACGATGACGCCGTCATGCGTTTTAATCGTTTTAGTTTGTCCCGCTGCAGGGCATACATAGTTTCAATGGTCAGTGACCATTGAAGCTATGTATGGCCAATGGTCACCGACCCCATATTTAGTCTTTTGTGTGATTGGTCAAAGACCAACCGCAACCTAAACTTAAATCGGGGTTCGAGAGGCTGAAGGGTCGCTTGGTGAAACACTAGGCCGCTTGCCGAGTTGACTGAAAAATTGGCATAACCCCGATAGCCCGGCAGGTCCACATATGGTCCCGCTGGAAAACATAAGCTATGGCGAAGCACTTTATAGTTTGGAAGAACCCTACTCCATCATGCTGTTACTTGTCTTGTCCGGAAGAGATGTCCACACGCGATTTGACTCATCTCTGCTGAAAGCGTAAGGTTCCCAGCGAGAAGGTCGGCCATTTCCCAAGTTTCGCGGTCTTTTCGTTCTTACATAGAAGACTAAGTCAAAAAGGCAGCAATGCCAGCACAGCCACGCGGAGCACGCCATTCCAGTCGGGATCGTGTTGAAGCCGTGTTTTCGAAGCTAGAAGAACGTCGTATTGATCGAGAGCAAGACCTCAGTAATTTCTCTAACGCGCCGATACACCGAGTTGACAACGACGAATCCGACACCCCTATATGGACCCATTTCGAAAGATTGGTGGATATGAGAGCTTAACGTCCTGTGGCTCACTGTCCGAGACCACGTACGAATGAATTACAATGTTGGCAGGGGCAAGCGCTCTCAGATTAAACCCAAAGACGCCTTTTTCATGACGCTTGTGATGCTTAAAGAGGGAGGGACATGGGATTCCAACGCAAGGATTGGCGACGACTACCTTCACGGGCGTTGTCACTAAGTTTATCAAAATGTTGGCTCCAAAGATCTACGTCGACCAAGTAGAAGATCGCTGCGACGGGGCAACGATGCGTAATGTCCGAACACGAGGACACTCTTTCGACCATTTCCCAAGTGCTTTGTATGCCATTGATGTCACGTTTCAACAGAGCTGGCGCCCGGGCGGTAGCATCGCCGAGAATGGCACCTTTTACCGCGGTAAACATCATCTCTACGGACTGAGGTGGAGGTGTCAGTCGATTCACGAGGTTTCGCGATAAATTGTTCAGAGCACGAGCCTGGAGCTACACACGACGTTACTGTGTTCAAAAGTAACAAGCTGTTTCATCACAGCAAAATGAAAAAGATTGCAGGCGATGAGAGTCTTCCAGACAATGGCCCTCTGCCGGACGTTTTACCGGATGAGTGGGCCCTGTTAGCAGACAAATGGTACCAAGGTGTAGCTGAATTCCTGCGTGGGATCACTCCGAAAAAGGATACAAATTTAAGTCATGTAGACCAAGCAAACAACGATCGCATTGCGCACGATCGCGTCATTGTCAAGAGCTATTTTGGGCGGCTTAACGAAATTTGGCGAATCACATCCGACAAGTATCGCTTGGCTCGTGATCTGTACGACGACATTTTTCGTATATGCTTAGGCCTTACGAACGCCCATGTATCGCATTGCCCACTGCGACAACAAAGCGGTGAATGGTACCGACGCTCTCAAAACAAGTTATTTGAACTTGGCATGGAACTAAAGAAGAAACGTAAGCTGGGCCAAGCGAAATACCGAGCAAAGAATAAGCGACGTCTCGCTTGCACACTGTCGGATTTAGGCGGTGAAGCGGATGCAGGTGATGATGCGCTGACTCAGCTTAGCCAAAAATTCTGATTGACCCTCTGGCTCCGAGACGCACGAGATAGCGGCTCATTTTGCATTTAGCTAGATATTGAGTTGAATAAAAACGTTTGATGTTCACGGAGAAAGCGTTACTTTCCCCCGAATTTGTTATTCTTTCAGCAAAGATGCAATCCCACATGGGCAACAGCGCCGTAAGTCGTATACAGCATGATTCTCGGTAAAGATTTGATAATTAACTTGGTGCAAACTAACTAGCTAAGTGACCTACTGTTCTCTTCCAAATCAGGTGTATTTCAAAAGGCGTCCATGACTGCTCCCTCTTGTCAAGTTAACTTTACTCGCAAAAAGAAAAAGTACGAGTAGCAAATGGCTACTGTCGATACTTAAAACTATCGGCGCAGCTTCAAGCTGGGAATATAAAAAACTGTCCCGTTGAAGTTGAGCGCGAGGTTGTCTCTACGAAAGTCAAGTGATCTGTGTTCATTACTGCATAAAAGAATACACTATAACATCACCTTTAGAAACGATTCACGCACGTTTTACTCTCATCTTAGTGGAGAGAACATAATGCTACATAGGCTTATGAAAAGTTGACGATGTTTCATCTGGGCATGTCCGACATTTTTAACTAGAAATAAGCTGTCAAAAAATGTGGGCTGCTTTTCTATTTGGACATCGCCCTAAGGGCCG